AAGTACTTGAATAGAAAAAATGACACTTTCATTCTCTTTTTATAGATGAGACAGACTTTAACTGAACTCTGCTTTTCTGAGATGGTTGGTTCATTTATTTTTATTTTTTTTGTCAAAAACCACATGGAAATACTTCCTGTAAAGAAGACTTGGAGATCACGCTTTTCAAGCAAATAGAATGCATATCATAATTGTTTGATGTTTATTTCACATCTGAAAAACAGACCCCGTTTTTATGTGGAACAATGACAATTGTCAGTGAAAGCACCACATACTCTGCTTGACTCTCTGTTGTTAAAAATCCAACTTGTTTTGCCCTCAGCAGTTTTACAGGCAGTTCAAATTGCCTCATAAAACTCTAATGGTTTTCCTCATACACAATATGTATTGTGTGACAGGCACAGAAAACACATCTTATCACAGTTTATACTAGGTAAAATATGCATCCAACTGGAACACTGGTCCACCTTTAAAATTTTTAATTGTAATATAGCTCTGAAAAATATACTACCAACTAATACACATTTTTGAATTTTAATCTTTCAAAAGTAAAGCAATGGTATATAAAGGTGTATTAAAAATTTACGTCTTCTGTTATATTATAGACGGTAAAGTTTTAACAATCTAAGTAAATATTTTAAAAATATTAACAAAATATGTATCATAAGATACTTTTGGCAGAGGTCTTACCTTGGTAGAGAAATAAAGGCTTTTATTTTATGAGAAATTTACTCATAAGGACCAGCATGAACAGACTTATTGTGTTCAGGAGGCACGCATAGGCCGTGACGTTTTCTAACACCTTATAATTTATGTAGGAGAGATGCACAGATGAGAATTGTCCCGATTATCTGATTATTTTTCTTTCTAAATATGTTAAATAAGTACTGCTATCAGTAATTAAAAATCTGAAAAATTTGAGTTATTTTTCAGAAGTCAAGATATCTGCTTAGAAGTAGTAAAGTTTCTTGTAGTGTTATCATATTTGCCAGATTCTCTTTATCTACTATCTGAATTTTTCATTTTAAAGGACACTGATTTCACAGTTTCAATATTTTTGCAGAACTCTGAGGTTTAAGTGTTTAAATGTTTTTAAACCTTATCAGTTCAGTAGTTGGGACTATTAAATATATAACCTGAAATACAAAATCCTGACACAAGAGTTGGGTCATTGAAGTGAAAAGCATTTTTAGAAGTTTGTATGAGAGCTGCAGCGTCTAGGGTATGATTAATGAGTCTTAGAAGATTAAGGGAATTTTAGTTTAGCTTTGTCTTTTAATTCTGTTAAATTGCCTGGATGTCCTGGAATCATTCAGCCACATCAGCTCTACCCTGTGTGAGGCTGGCTGCTCCCTTTCACTGTCTGCGATTACAAATACAGACATTTGGTTGCTCATATAAGATATGTAGCTCCAAAATGGACACATTGGGTTAACCTTAGACTCAAATATTTAATCAGCACTGACTTCCAAAAACCATGTGGCACACAATATTTGGCAAAATATTATTAGATGTAGTTGTAGTGTTAATGATGTTAGACATTATCATTAATAATTATTATCACCATTATAGTTGTTGATAATCAAAGAATACAAGCAATGCAAGATTCATGGGGACAAATAATGTTTTTTTTATGAGCCAGCTAATACAGTTTGAAAAAAATAAACCAGGACTCACAAGCCTTTGACAGACCTGAAATAAAGAAGCAACAAACTTCAAAGGTGACCTGGGTTTATCTTGACCATATTTTGTGTTAGCACCTACAGACAGGCATAGTGGAGATCCATTGTTCAAAGCACTGTACAAATAGAAAATAAGAGACAGTTCCTGCTCCACTGAGTTCACAAGCCAAACACTGACCTGGGGAAAAGCAGGAGAGAGCAAACAGACATACAAAGGTTAAGCTTTAACAGCTCAGTAACAGAACCAGAAAGGAACTTGCACCTCCTGGTCTGAAATCTAGGCCCAAATTGCCCAGAACACATTTGAAAGGCAAATGGCAATTTGTACCTCCTCCCTCATAACCCATAACCGTAGAAACTTACGTATTAGAAGGTCAAGACAGACCCTATGTGTGTCAGTGCCTGGGGCCTGGTTCTGCAAATCACTAGTCTGAGCTGCAAAATTACTACCCTTCAAACTCATGGAAATTCAGTAGTGGAAATCCACTGGCGGAAACACAGCAAGCCCCATGGCAAAGAAACAACTGATGGGATGAAACCCTTTATCTGGAGTTTCTTGTTTTTACTCATTTTATAAACACATAATTCTGGAAGGGACACTTAGCCACCATTTTTAGTCATAGATTATTAACAGTTAATTTAAGATTAGCAATTTGTGGGGACTTGATATACCAGAAAGTAGGTTAAAAAAGATGTAATGATCTAATTTCCTTCATCCCCCATTTTTCTGATAGAAATATTTCTTTATTTTTTTCCCCATTTACAGGTGCAGAATTAAAGAACATGTTCACTCACTATATTATTGGTGCACTTAAGTGAAGTGTTCCAAAGCATATAATTACCGTGTAGGTTTATGGCCCTGAAGTAGATTGGGATAGTGGTGCTGCATATCCATGATTTGAAGGACATACAGTGATGATTATAGAGGCAGTACTCTACATCCATTCCAGCCCTTTTGTGTTTAGCTGGTTGCCATGACAAATAATTGGATAGAATTTAAGCCACTTTCTTCCAAGTGGGAAATTCATAATTTTACCCTTCACATAATTTTGAACATACTTTTAAAGATTCTTAAAGTTTATGCAGGAATGGAATACAGACTTGGAAGAAAAAAAAAATAGATTTCTATAAATGGGATGACAGTTCGGAGGTTTCTTTATTTCACTCTTTTTTTTTTTAATCCTGAGGATTCAGTTTTCTTAACAACATGATATTGCAAAATTTGAGCCTAGTGAAATTAAAAAAGATTTGAATCCAGAGGGATAGGGAATATGAAAGAGAATGATCAAATACTCTTACTTCAGCAATTGGTATCAAATAGAAACAGATGGGTAATTTTATGCCCTCAATTTCCCAAATGTATTTGACTCAAACCCTTTTTAAGCTTTCTCAGTACCCTTACCTGTAGAAACTTACATGTTAGAAGGTCAAGATGGACCCTATATGTATCAGTGCCTAATTCTTATCACCATTCATAACAATAATTCTGCGCCTTGTCACAAAAATTACAAGAATTAGAACATTACTTTCATGCTTTGATTTCTACTTCTACATTCCAAACTTCCTAACAAACTAGACTGTGGTTTCATTGCTTCTTTGACAGAAGTATCCAATCCAAGACTGAAAAATTAAATAATGACACTGAGTAAGCCTGTGATTTTGGAAACTAAATTATAGAAAGATTGGAGATTCAAAGCTAGTTCTAATCAGAAGTGTTATTTCTCTAATTTGCCTTTTTACAATCTTGATTCAGTGTTGAAACTGAGTAACAGGGTTTTATTTTAGATTTGACAATACTGAGCACGTACAACAGGATATGAAAATAAGAGGTTTGTTTTCTAAATGCATTCACCAGCACGTTTTTAGGGTTTTTTTCTTTTTCATTTTTGTTTTGGTTTGGGGTCTTGTGTATGTTGGGGGTGTTTGTTTATTTGTTTGTTTGTGGGTTTAGGGTTTTTTTTTTAGAAATGTTTTTCTGAAAATTTTATCCTTTACTGAAAGATTCAGCATTCAATCACTGAATATTTTTAGTAGTGTTTTATTATCTACAAGTTGGCATAATTTTTTCAGAGTCAAACTTTGTAGTAAATTAAATTTTAAAATTATGACCTGTCTAGAATTTAAAATAAGGAGAGCTTCCAGCTGACTTGTGAGCTAATCAACTTTGGGGATCTTCTTTGAGTCTCTTTTGTATACTGATGGCAATCCACAGTTTCTTTTCTTCTACCTAGCTCCAAGTGTCTGGCAACAAATTTGTTGTACCTGCATGTCTTTGATAAGGACCCTTGACTGCTATCAAATTTGTTATATGGAGAAAACCAAAGACAAAACCCAGAGTATCCTTTGGCCTTTCAGTAAAATGCTTTTTTTAATGAGTTTTGAATTTTTATGTTGCTGCCTCTCTGAAGATGTATTGCAGTTCAATGCAGCATAGGCCATTGTAGCCTCTTTTTGTTGAGCAAAACAATGCAATTTATTAACAGCATTTTTATTCCCCAGAGACAGTGGTGATTAAAGGATATTACCTTAAAAAAACAAGATCACTTATATTCTTCCTGAAGAAATGTGGATGTGGCAAAAAGTGTGTTGTCCCAATAAAAAAAATTCTGTAAGTAAATGTCTAGAAGGAGAGGCATTCTTAAAATCTTGGTGAACATTAAATAACAACATAGTGAAGAGGGAAAGCATCTACAGGATGAGACGGTTAAAACAAAATATAAATACTACCACTAGTAGCATACTAAACCTCTGTGTGAATTACAGAGCAGAAGGCTTGGGATGGATAACACAGCTAGACCAGGAGTGCCTCATCACATTAGGGATCTGTCTCTTCTGAGCAGGTTAGGAAAGGTCCTTTCATTTCTTATCTCTTGCATCAAGTGCTGCCACGAATTAAGAGACGATGCTAAGGGAGGTCAGTTGTGTCCATGCCACAAAAAACTAGTCTAAGCGTTCCCGGTGTTTTCAATACCATCATAACAAGAAAATAATTGCATTTAGAGTTCATATCGAGCAACCTGGGAGTCAAGAGCAGGCGGATCATCTGGCAAATATATGAAGGTACATGGAAGATAAAGAGAAAATAAAAAAACAAGAAAAATAAGAAAAAGTTACTGATAAGTGGTACCTCAACTCTACACAGTTTACAGCTTCTATATTGAGCTAGAATTTTGAATTCCTTCAGAAGCAATTGCCAAGGCAATCACCGAATTTCCCAGAAACATAACAATATAAATACAAAACATGCCAGTTAGTCTTCTCTGTCAAAGTTTAGGAAAAATGGCAACATATGGCCATAGTAACATATTAGGCCACTGAAATGTTTTATTCTGTATGCCCAAGCAAACAATGGCAGTATTGACTGGGAAGAGCTCTCTTGTCCCCAGCCAGTTCAACAACAGCCAGCTCTGTATGTCTGTCTTCCTGTTTTAAGCCTGGATAAATCACACCTACATCTTTTGCTTTTTGTCTTTGTTGTTGAGGTACTGAAGAATCAGTGTGATATTCCAACCTCTTCATGCCTACAGCTGATCTCAATTTCCTCTCAGACACATCTTCTTAGGTTCTGTTCCAAAGGGCTGCTGCATTGCAGATTGTATTGACCACTGTATCTATTTTGAAAGTACAAAATACACTTAGGTATATTTGGGTTTAAATTATAAAGTAAATATGAAAGTCCAGTTATGAAAGCCATTTACTCTCTTTCAATTAGAATTTCTTTAAATTGGAGGTATTTTTGCAAAGTTAGTCCCCAAAAATCACAAGGAACCCTTACAAACTCTTTGTTGCCTTCAAAATAGATTATGTTTGTCACATGATATGGGACTCCTCAGTAGGACCACTACTATCTAACATAGTTTTTTCAGGGTAATAATTATTAGAAAATAGATTTTATAATTTTTTTTTAAAATAAAAACTTGATTCACAGTAAAAAGATACTGTAAGTATCTTTTAATTTTACTGTAAGTAAAAAGATGCTGTAAAATGATATTTTATCATATTTACTTGACCAATTAAATCCTATTGTTTGATACATTATTTAATATATAATCTATTTTATAATCACTTTTAATTTTATAATAAGATTTTTTATTTGTTTGGGATTACATTGAGTTTTCCTATGACAATCAAATGGGCTTCAACACATGGTTCAAAATATCTGAGCTACCTGTTAGAGCAAGCCTGGACATGAATGAATTCTCAGTATTGTCTTAAAGCACTGAAAAAAACCCTCTTCATCTCACATAATATTTACAGCTTGCAGCAATACACCTCTGTTTCTGTTGGCTTCCTCAACACAGGTGAAACACAATACAAAGCAAAATCAACTCAGTCCATAGTGGAAGTAGTTTATTAAACAATGCATGAGTCCCAGTGTAAAGCAGCAAAGCTGCTCCTACAGCTTTGCACCTACTTTGTTGGGAAATGCACCAAAGAACAAACAGGTGGATCACATCTACATGTATTGCATATTTCTGCTCACCTATGATAGATGGAACCTGAGAGATGGTGTAAAGACATAGAAAGTGCCCCTCATTCTGGAGATTTCATCCAAATTTTACAGTCACAAAATTACTGATACAAAATTTTCTTTGGATAAAAATAATACATATGCTCAGAGTCAATAATTTTCCATGAGTACAGTTCAGACTTCTGAAAAAGCCCTGCACAGTATGTCATATTCAGGCCAGACAACCTATGGTCTGAGATGACTAATCCCCAGACAGTCATCTCACATATTAGGGCTCAGTGTAGACAAGTGGGGAAATTGCTGGATTGATGGGTCAAAGCTAATGGTGTGAATCCAACAAGGCCAAGTGCCAGATCCTACACTTCAGTCCCACAACAACCCCATGCTGCACCAAAGACTTGGGGCTGGAAAACTGCTAACAGAAAAAGCACCTTGGGTTGCTTGTCAACAGCAGCTGACTGCAGGAAAGACACTGAGGGGCTGGAGTGAGTCCAGAGAAGGGCAGGGGAGCTGGGGCAGGCTCTGGAGCACAAGTGCTGTGAGGAGCAGCTGAGGGAGCTGGGGGTGTTTATCCTGGAGAAAAAGAGGCTCAGGGGTGACCTTATCACTCTCCACAACTGCCTGAGAGTGTGGCCAGGTGGGGTTGGCCTCTTCTCCCAGGCAACCTGTGACAGCATGAGAGGAAGGGCCTCAAGCTACACCAGGAGGGTTGAGTTTGGACATAAGGAAGAATTTCATTATGGAAATTGGTGTTAAATGTTTGAATGGACATGTCCAGGAAGGTCATGGAAATTTGTGTCTAGGAAAGTGGTGGAGTCTCTGTCCCTGGAGGTGTCCAACAAACGACTGGTACTTAGTGCTAGGGTTCGGTTGACAAAGTGGGGATAAGTCAGTGGTTGGACTGGATGATCTTAAGGGTCTTTTCCAGCCTAAATATTTCTGTGATTCTGTGAATTGGTGTGCACAGCTTGGGCTCTATAGACAAAACCTGAGCACCAAAACTGAAGCTACTAGCTTTGATGAAACAGACTGAAAATGTTTGTGCAGCCTGTAAATGCAAATTAATCTGCATGTTGGTCCAAGGATTTTTGCTTCAGAAATGCTATCTTTCTATGGCTTCAGATACTTTTTTTCACAATTTTGTGTAGGCTGAAGACTCTAACATTTAAGACAGACATTTTCATTAGTTTCCAAGAAATGTTTTCAGAGTCAGTATTGGGAATATAATCTTTTCAGCCTCTTCCTGGGGTAGTGTAACTTGTTCATCATTCCTTATTTCAGCCTTTGGTCACAAACAAACTATCTATAGCAGATTTGTGCTCTGCTGCCTGCAACTGAAAGCTAGACAAATATTCCCTTCAAGGGATTATATACATGTTGAACTAGTTATGGGTTTTTTTCCTAGAATGTAATAACCAGAGATAATTTATTTTAGTTAAAAATTCATCTTTTGTAAGTACTAAAGCACCCTTTAAGTTATTCTGTAACAATCTAGAAGACAGGCACATAAAAACAACACTGATGAAACACATTAAATAGTGTATTAAATAGCATTATCCCAGCAAGAATGACACATTTGTAGCCTTAAAGATGCATGAAGGTTTCTTGGTCATGCCTCTTTTCTTCTACAAAGACTGTAAATGTACTAGAATGTACTTGCCATGCATTTCCCCTGTCTAGAGGAAAATTATGCAAGTCTGTAGGAAGAGTGGGCAGCTTTGCTGTTCCAGAGGGGAGCAACATCCCATCTACCCATGCCTATTACTGCACTAGAGGGAAGCCATGAGGAGCAATAAAGGACAAGGTCATGATGTATTCAACTATCATCATCATCATGGAAATTCAGACTGCAGACTGCTTCAAGCACAGCCTGGTGCCTGCAGAGGGGAAGCACAGGGAGCTGGAAATGCATCCTTGGGTAAGCTATCTGTTACATTGTGCTCAGGCACGCAGAAGTAGAGATGTGTCTCACTGTTGGCACTAACATTTGTTTTCTTTCTTTTAAATGATAAAAAACATTACAAAATATTTCAGGAATTCTAGCTGCCATCAGACATTCCTTTGTATATAGGTTTCATTTAATTACTCACAGGAGTGACTTGTGCTCTTTAACTATCATCTTCTCCATGTAACTCCTTGGATAAAGGGAGCCTCCGTCTCCTTTATAACCACTCTTCATTGGGTATAAGTATATAATAAAGTCTCTAAGCTTTCTTTTTGATGAACAGAGCCTGTTGTTCCAGCCTTTCTTCACATGGCATTTTTTCCAGGCAATGATGATCTTTGTGGTCCTTCTCTGGATGGTCTCCAGGCAAGCCGTATCTTTTTCGTATGGTAGGGGCTAAAATTGATCACAGATTTGAGGTTTGGCCTGACAAGAACTAGAAGTGGGATAGTGATTTCATTTCTGCTGGTGATGCCCTTGTAACCCAGCATCCTGCTGCCTTTCGTTAATACACTTTAAGCAACTGTTCACTCATATAGACTCTGTTTTCCTCCAGGAAAGGGGTCGCAGTGCCGGTAAAGACAGAATTGAAGAAAGTGTCAAGAACTGCTTTTTCAGTGCTATTAGTGACTGAGTCACCTCTCCTGTTTGCAGGCTGATTTGTTTGATTGTTTCCTTGTTGTTTTTTCGTTTTGTTTTATTTTTTTGTTTTGCTTGTTTCCATACTTGACAAAAGAACCCTTTCTTGTAGTTTTTGTTAAGTCTGACCAATCTAAATTTGAACTGAGGTTTTGCTTTTCAAGCTGTATGTCTGTATTCCCTAGAAATGCCCTTGTAATTCTCCACTTGTATCTGTTCTCCCTCTCTGGTATACTTCTCTTTTGGTTTTGAGCATACTCAGAAGCTCTCAATTAAGCCAAGGTGGCCTTCTGCTCTGCCTACTTCCCTTACTTTTACCTTTCAGTTCTCCACATTGCTGCCAGTGTCCTTGAATATACTTGAAATGCCTGTCACCATCCAGAGTGCTGTTGTACTGTTCTTTCTGAGGGAGCAGTGCCTTTAATCCAGAAGCATTAGCTCTCTCTTCAGTACTCTCTGTCTGTGCAAATATTAAAATAAAACTTTTCAGTCCTGGTTTACTGGGTGGGATTTTGTCTGGCTTCCCTGGCAGGGCAGGCAGCTACTTGCAGGCCCCTCCTGTGGTGCAGAAGGGAGGAGGCTGTCCCTTATTGTGACAACTGACCTTGACTAGTGGTGGCTCCTCCTCAGCAGATGAAGGCTGTGGCAGGCTTCTTGTAGCTTGAAGAGCTGAGCAGGCAGTCTGTACTCCTTTGGGCTGTATGCATTTGGCCTTTGACTCTCCTCAAATGCCTGTTCCTACCTTGTCCTGCTCTGTGGGATTGCAGAATACGACTGTTGTTCCCCAGACTCTGATTTGGCTCCCTCCTCACCGTGGCAGATTTGGGTACCTCGTACGTCACAGTCATGGAGCCCAGCACTGTTTGTGCAGCCTCAGTATGAACTTCTGTCTTTCGTATCCAAAAATCAACTAACCAGCAACCCCCCCCGACATAATTCTTTTATATCAGATGTCAGAGGTGTGATGCAATAGTGAGGCAAGTAGAATAGAGAAAAAGGAGAATTCATATTTTTTCTCAAGTTGCAACACACCAGAGACCATTAGGGCTATCTTCTACTTTTGAAGCTGATAATTATGTTATCTACATTATCTTGTCTTATGCTGCTTTTCTTAAATGTATCACTTGGAATGAAGTTTGGAGACCCAGCCTTGACAGCAGGGACACAATTTCAGAAACATTTTCAGCAAATGCTTTGTGAGTATTGTGAGACTTTATACAGGCTGAGAAAGGAAAAATGCTATCAATAAGAATATGAGGATAATAACAGAATAGCATTAGCTTCAGTAGGTTCTGGACCAAATTCCTTCTCACCTGGCAGAGAAAATAAATTGCCTTTCCATATTAGTTGTTGACTTTTGAACGCATGTGTGCTGGCAAATCTCGCTAGTTCAATCCCTTCTGCCAATACACCCAGCCCACTAAGGTCTGGGTTTCATCAGACTTCTGGACTGGAATTACTGTTGTGAGTCTTTCCTTTGCTAAAAATAATGCAAATTTAATTTAAAATTGTAAGAGCTTTCATTTCATATTGTTTTATTAATACCATGAACGAACACTGAGGAGGAACAGAGAATTATATAGTATGGCCTAAATATCCTTTCTGTTAGGTACTGCTGTGCTACTGTTGTTGATTAATATGTATTTAATTGGTTCGGAGGTACTTCAAATATTTTAAATAAAGTTCTTCCAAGTATGAAAAACTTTAAAAGAGACTAAAACATGCTATGGAAACGTAATTATGCATATTACATTTGGGTCTATCTCATTTCCTGCCTAGAACAGTATAACTCTTAAAGGCTCTCCACTTTTTTTTTAATCTTGCCTGAAAATAGTTACTTTGCTTTTATGTTATTTCCTTTAGCTTTCCAGTCATCGAGGTAACAATTTAAATTGTCGCTATTTAAAACTTCTCAGGTTTTTTTGTATTTTAATATACTACTTCGATGCATTTACCTACCTTAGTGTTTCTCTCCATGAAAAAAGATAAAAGAGTACACGTCCCTCATTTTTTTCTGTTGACCTTGCTACAGTAAATATGAGAATTAGGCTTTATGTTAATTAGCATGCAGAAATCCATTAAATGAACATAGGACCTAGTGAGAGGTTATAGTATCATTTATATAAACCTCAAGTATAGTTGGGGTATATGGCTGACAGTGTACACCCTGGAGTGTATTATTGCTTCTGTAAGAACCACACTTCTCTCTGTGACTTTGGTAATGGACTCCAACATGTGCAGATGTGGTTGTGTAATTACACATCTGAGTATCCTCATTAACTGATTGGGACTGTCACTGCCCAGCAAGTCATGCATGTTGGACAATAATCCTATCAGGAACAGCCCTCCTTAGGCAGCAAACAGGATCTTCAAAAGAGTTAGAGATGATTACAAAATTATTCTAAAATGTACAACCAAGAGAAGGAAAACAAGAAAAATAACATCAACTCTAACATAAAAAGTATATAGCATTTCTTGGTTTTGTGCCTACTTTCTTATGTATTTCAGTGTCTTGGTAGTAAGAGATTCTCTCATTGAAATCATCAGTGTTCAGGCTCAGCTGACAAATTGACAACAGTCTCACTGAAACTTGTAAAAAAAGGACAGAAAAGCTTTGATTCAAATGACTTATAAAGACATTACTTTTTTTGCATCATATTCTGCCTATGTTTGCATTTCTCTTCCAAACACAAGCTGTAGTAAAATTTTCATGTCATTTGTATTTCTGAACCAAAGTATTTTATGTTCTAACTGGTGATGGAAAATAATAATAAAATCTGTGGTTAAAGCAGGTGCTGTTTGTAGTGTTTATATAAACACATTAGCACTCTTTTGACACAGCATGACCTGAACAAGTAGTTCATCCTACTAGTAACAGGGAAACAATAGCTGAGCGTGCCAGAGCCGAGTTCATTCAGATACTGCAAAATTAACACCAGATTATGAATACGCTTGGCACTGGTAATTAATCGTGAAAATTGCTGGAGGAGTTCCCCTACTGTGAGGGATATTGGCAGAAGTATTTACTGCTAATAGGCCTTGTTTAAGCTTTTTTTTTCCCCCACCCCCTTAGAGATAAAACTTACAATAGACTGCACAGGAACTGATAGATTATTGCATATTCCTGTGGCCTTCTTTCTTGTTAGCATTTCTGAATATCAACACTGTTTTCCTTTCTGTTATTAGAAATGCACATTGTGTACAAAGTTTACATTCAGACCATTAAAATGTCCTTCACAAGAAGGGTAATTTCACAATCTGGATACTGTTATTCTATATTCCACAGTGATCTAACATTACCACATATTGGGTAGCAGTAATTTAGGGACATCATAGGAAGAATTTTTGTATTTCAAATAATGCACAAGCTTTTATAACCTTAGGTAGTGGTTACATGATCTACAAAATCTTTGATGTGCCTATCATTTTAAGCAATTTTCCTTATATATGCCTTTTATTATGTGCTTTTAAAGTGTAAAAAATGACCAAGATGCTTTCAATCTATGTTGTTTTTAAATGTAATAAAGGTGAATGAACATGATTATGTTAACTAATTAAACAAAAATAAATAAATAAATTAACTTGTAGAGGTCACACATACTCCTGTACATTATTCTAAAATAACTTATACAATATAATCATATTACATATTTCTTCCCTTAGAAAAGAATGAAAAAAATATACCCATTGTGACTGGTTTTTAACCAGTTGTGCTTTTGGTTAGAAACAAAAGCCAGTTTCTTAGTGAAATTAATGAGGGATTTTTCTATTGAGATTAATGAAAGTGGGGTTGAGGCCCATATCTGTTAAAATTTTACTATTGTACAATATGGAGGTTATGGAGGCATTTATTGCTGATTTTATGATGAACCATAACAATTCTTGGCCCATATAGACCAATATTTGATTAAGCCACCATATAACACATTCTTTAGGCAATTTAGTTGACAATTAGAATGATTTGATCTTTATAAGACTTTTTAGATTGATCTTTTTCCAAAAATGTTTAACTATTTATTTTGAGAACTTGTTAAATGTTTTTCCATTGATTTTAATGAGAATGAAACTTTACGTCTTCAATATTCAGCAGGCAAGCACTAGATCTAGTATTTCTTTATTAAATATTAGTGTTTTTTTCTTTTCAAGGCTATTCAGAATTTGGACTTCACTTCCTTAATTAATCTTTTTCCTTATAAAACACATACTCTTCATCCTTCCCTTTCTGAGTCCTGTCAGTCTAAACAAAATCATAGTCTTATATTTTTCTGTGGGTTAGGTATGTCTTTTATGGCCTATATTTGGGCCCAGTGCAGATTATGGAGACAGTGTGCACACCTTAGAATTCAACCACTCATAGTGAATTTATTTTTTTTATAATTGAATTTTTACTTTTCTTTGTGGCTTTGATAGTTTCAACTAAATGGAAGTCCTCTCATTAAAATTTTTCTTTATATTTTGTTCATCTAAACAGAGGGGCTTATGTGTGGCTGGCATATTTCAGTAGGAAAAATCAGAGTTGAAAGTAGGCCATATTGCTCTAAACAATTACACATTATTTTGAAGATGCCTTGCAAATATTTGTTCATGATAACACATTGTAACCTGCCCTCTGTCTTTCCCTCAAATTCTCTGAGGCATTTTTTTTCTATAGCTGATCCCTCAGGCAGCAAGGATCAACATCTAGCAATTAGTAGCTGTCACATTGTTCTGACAGAGAACAATAAAATATTGCAGAAGGTAAACTGTCTCAGGTTTATTTTCAGAGTAACAATTCACCATGGTCATTTATGCTTCTAGCATAAAAGTTTTATATAACTGCAAATTTTTATATTAAATTAATTGTAGTACCAAACCATGTTGTGTTTCATTCATGCAGAAAACACTAACCTTCATTTAATAAATTACTTCTAATTTGACTTAGAGTGCAGTTGTTTTAGTTGTATGAAGGCTGGATTCAAAGCAAGAAAAAGGTCTTTAAATAAGAGCTCTTTTCCCAGGTATCACAACAGCTGTCCAGTATTAACATTTTTTTCCTCTGATGAAGGAAATGTTCAAGGCTTTACACACTGCTTTCACAAAGACAGTCATATTATTCATGGTGTCCTTTGTATCTTTCCAACTTCATTATCCATTTAATGTAGCACTTTTGTTTTAATGATTGTTTACAAAATGCATTCCATATTATTCAAATAATAATGAATTTTTAAAAATTAGGTCTAGTATTGCAAAGGACGTCTGAGGTCAGGTACCCTAATTCACGATGAATAATAATTAATCTTTGTCAGTTTTTGTTCCACATAGCATGAAAAAATGTGGCTGCTGGTAATATACAAACATGTTTGTTTCGGTAATAGATGTTATTAATCGTTTATATTCTTATGGGTCTTAACAGCTTACTTTCTCAAATATCTTTATAAGCTGACATTACCAATAATTTTCTTTTGTTTTCAGTCTTAAAATGTCTCTATTTATATGACAAGGAAGCTCTGTTTTTGATTGCACAAATAATGTTGCTGTAATTTAATTACGTGATAATTTTAATTTTTCCAATCAAACTATCAAACTTCAACATATGTCAAAATTTGCTGATATATTGTGGAAATTCAATATTTTTATTAAAAACAATGAAAAAATATATGTCTCCAGATAATTGTTGTAGGAATCAAAAATATGTTTTTTTCATATAATCAGAAAATCCTTGATTTATAAAAAAAAATGATAAAGAGTCAAGTGTATTTCCATAGGGCTGTGGCCAAATTCACTGTAAGCAGATCTGTGTCCATAATGGCA